TGAACTTCTTTTGCTTAAGGCTAGCACTCTACCATTTGAGCCACAGTGCCACTTCCAGCTTTTTCTGCTTATATGGTACTGAGGAATTGAACCTAGCGCTTCAAGCATGATAGGCAAGCACTCTATGTTCCCAATCTGGGGAACATATCTTATAGCTATCCATCCTGAAATTTCCATTATATTGCTCTGTCCTTACTTCTTTCCTCATTAGCTACCTCATTTTACTGGGGTTTATCCTGAAGCAACTAACTGAAAACAGATGTGTGAGAGTGAAACTTTTTAAATCTTTGAATGTATTAGAGTCTTTAACATTTAGTTAAGAGTTTAACTTGGGTATAGTTGGAAGTAATTCTTCCCTGGAATTTTAGCCATTTTTTTTCTAGTATCCAGAGTTGCTAATAAAACAAAACTTACTACAACCTTGATTTTTGTTCTCTGGAAACATTTATGATTTTACCTTTACCCATGATATTCTGAAGCATTGCAATTATTCCTTGTTTGTAGATCTTCTTTCATTCAATCTGCTTAGCATTAAGTGAGCCTTTTGGATGTGCAGATTTATGTCTCATTTTAGGTCTAGAAAATACTTTTTTTCATTTGTTTTGGAACACTTGTTAGTCAGATATTAGGCTCTTTGATTTCCCACTCTTTTCTCTTATAATTTTCTGTTCTCGTTGCTTTTTGCCTTCATTTAGACTCTATTTTTATTAAGAGGACACTCAACTAGAGGTTCCAATGTTTGTTTCTGATTGCAGATTTTATTTTCCTGTGTTTGCTCTTACACTTTGAAAAAAATGGTATCATGTTCTATTTTATGGTAGAAATTTAATCTTTACAATAATTTCTATATAGTTACTTACAGTTTTCTATTACATTTGTTACATTCTTGCATTATCCTGTCTTCAAATATATGGCCATTTTTGGTTGTTTGCCTATGAGGTACTTTTATTAAACCTCAATTTCAGTGAGAAAACTAAATCATACAGATGTTAAGTACATGCTCTGAACTATGCTATTAGTACGTAGTAAACTGGAGATTTGAATTTTTGTAGGGTAATTCCAGAGACTACTCTTTCAATCATGCTGTCTCTCTAATTATACTAGTTGCTTTGGTTTTCTTCCTAGAGATTAACTTAATTTGTTTAGAAAACAGATTATTTGGGGAATAAGAAGGAAATGCATGCAAGATGTCCTTTTTCTTTTCTTTTCTTTTCTTTTTGGGTCCGGTTGTGGGGCCTGAACTCTGGGCCTGGGTGCTGTCCCTCAGCTCTTTAGCTCAAGGCTACCACTCTACCACTTGAGCCACAGGGCCACTTCTGGCTTTTTTTCTTTTTTCTTACGTGGTACTGAGGAATCGAACCCAGAGCCTCATGCACGCAAGGCAAGCGCTCTACCACTGAGCCACCTTCCCAGCCTAAGATGTCCTTTTTGCATAGTTACCTCTGTCTTAGTCTAAGACTTCTGAAAAGATGCATTTTTAAACACTGCCACAAGATGGTAGATGGTGACTATATACACACAGTTTCTCCCACTGGTGAAAACAGATCTGGATTATTTTATTATCTGATTATTTTACTGTTATATTATATTATTATATTATCTGATTTTAATTTTAATTATCTGATTCTGAAATCTGTTTCCAAAAATTTTAAGATAGAGTTGGCATGTATGTCAGAAATGACAACTGTATACTTTTGTTTCTGCTGAAAATGGTATTTAGAATGTATCTGTTCTTCCACGTCACTCCACCCTGCTCCCAACATGCTGAGAATGATCGAATTTGTCTTATTAACAAATGCAAACTGTAAGACTTCGATAATTATAAAATAAGCATCCTGGAAGTCAACTAAAGCTGAATTCTTTTGTTGTTGTTGTTGTCCATCGTAGGGCTTGAACTCTGGGCCTGGGAACTCTTCAGTTCAGGGCTAGCGCTCTACCACTTGAGCTACAGCGCCACTTCCTAAAGCTGAATTCTTAAATACACTTTTATCATGTCTCATACTTCATATTATCATAATCTAAGATGCACATACATTTAGATGGTTTAAAGCTGCTGGTTCCAAGTACTTCAAGTAAAGCAAATTTGTTAATGATCTCAACTAGAATTGTACTGAACTATACTATCTAAACCAAATACAAGACAGTCTCCAACTTGATGATTCTCAACTTTACACTGACTGGAAAGTGACATGCATCCAATAGAAACCAGTCTTTAAACGTCTGAGTTTTTATCTTTCATGAGGTTAATGCTGTGTGGTGCGCACTGCTCTCTTGCAATACTGGCAGTGGCAGGGAGACATGGCTCCAGTGCCTCACAATTTTGTGAGTAATCAACTAGACTTCGTAGGTGCTATGTTGTGAAACTATGGTGCTCAATAGGTTTGGTATATTAAATGCATTTCAACTGGATGCGTTTATCAAGATATAAACTCACAAGTCAAGAAGCAGTGGTGTCAGTAATTTAATGGCATGAAAACAAAATGACTTAAATTGTTTAGTTAAAAAACACAAATTTTGTGGCACAATCTTAGGGTAAATCACTGAACTCTTCGACAGAGAGTTTATATATGTTAGGTTTAAAAGTTCTCATCTATCTAGCTTTGGAGATCTGTGAATTTTCATCAAAATGTTAAGTTATACAATCAGATATATATAAATTCTTCAGATTTAGAATAGCTGTGTAAGTATTTATGTAAAAATGCGTGTATGTATAAAATATTACCTGTCTGATAGGATACATCTTCTGTGTGCTTTCTGCAGGGCTGTGCTAAATATGGGGAGAACCTCTGCCTTTATAAAAGACTGATGCTAAGTACAAAGTATAGCAGACATCCAATCTTTCATAGCAGCTTCAGTAACAGAAACAATTCAAGCTATTTTAAACAAAGAGCTGATATTGGGCAGAAAAATATGTGAACATATCTCATAGAACCCCAAAGCATTAATATAGCTAAGCTTTCCTGTAGCTTAGAAGTAGGAAGTGGAAAGCCATTAGACCTCAGCCCTGGCATTCTCACCTCTGCTTCACTCTGTACCTCTGCTTTCCTTTTCCCTTTCCTTCATAGTCCATCCACCTTTGATTCTCTCTGCATATGGTAAAAGAGGACTATCTGACATGACAGTTTTGAGTTTATACTATCCTACTGCAGCCCTAATAATCCCAAATTGTCTTGGCTTGAACTCAGGGCCTCCTACTTGCTAAGAATATTCTACTGCTGAACCATGGTTCCAATCCCTTTTTGCACTGGATGTTTTGAGGTAGAGCCTCACCTTTTGCCCAAATTTAGCATGAATGACATATGCATGCCACAGATGCATGTTTCTTCAGCTGAAATGATGTCTCATAAGCTTTCTTTGCATGTACTGGCCTAGAACCAAGATCATTCTGATCTCAGCCTTCCAAAGTATCTTGGATAACAGGTTTGAGATACAAATGCCCAATGTAAATTTCATGCTTGCTTGCTTTCTTTCTCTTTCTTTTCTTTTCTTTCTTTCTCTCTCCTCGCTCTCCTCTCTCTCTCTCTCTCTCTCTCTCTCTCTCTCTCTCTCTCTCTCTCTCTCTCTCTCTCTCTCTCTCCCTCCTGCCCTTCTCTCTTTTGTTTTTTGTCTGAGACTGGAACTTGAACTCAGTGCCTGATGTTTTCACTCATTGGTTAGTGCTCTACAAACGGAGTCATGCCTCCAGTCCCCTAAATTCTTTCTTAAACTGAGATATTTCCTCCCTTCTGGGAATTTCAATTTGGGATTGGAAAAAAGAAGTTTCCTGATAACTTTGTAGCCAAGAAATTGTGGCCAGAATGGAGATTTGAGAATTTGTAGTATAAATAACTATAGCCTACTTTTTTTTTTTGTCAGTTGTGGGGCTTGAACTCTGGGCCTGGGCGCTGTCCCCCAGCTCTTCAGTTCAAGGCTAGTGCTCTACCACTTGAGCTACAGTACCACTTCCGGCTTTTTCTGTTTATGTGGCGCTGAGGAATCGAACCCAGGGCCTCATGCATGCAAGGCAAGTACTCTACCACTGAGCCACCTTCCCAGCCCCTATAGCCTAATTTTTTGATGGGGAAGTGTTATGTTTTAAAGATCTACTCATTTATCTATCTTTGGGGATCTGTGAATTTTCATGAAAGAATTAAAGGAAGAATATCATTGAAATCTAGACAAATCCTTTTCCATTTTTAATATGCAAATGTATATACACTAACTTTTTAAAACAAATGTCTTTTTGTGAACATATATGCATACTTCTACCAAGTATAATCCTAGAAAAAGAATTGTTCTATCATAGAATATATGTATGTTAAGCTTTGTAAATACTACTACTAAGCTTTATAATACTATGATTACTTCCAAATTAGTTGTATCAATTATGTTCATACCAAAATTAATAATAATTGTGATTATATATCTGTATCAAGTTATTTTCTAATAGCTGCATAGTTATACCTCATTATATATTAATTTTTACTGCTTCACTGTCTAATGTGAATAGAAGGATTGATATGATACTTGAGATTTGCTTTAAAGGATGAATGGGGAAAATTCAAGCGAGATTTGAATAAAACAACTTTATCCATGAATTGATCATTGTTTAAATTGGTTAATCAGTATCTAACAGTTCATTATATCCTTCTGTATATCTTCGAAAAATTCCCATAGTAAGAAAACTAATTTTCATTCTAGTCTACTTTATCAAATCTGTAAGTTTTTGTACATATTTTCTTCCTGATAATGGCTATTAGAATGAAGTAGACATAGAAAAGGGAAAATTCATATAAAAGAATAATCAAATACTTTCTGACCTAAATACCATTTCAAATAGAGAAATATTAACTATAAGAAAGACTTCCTACCATATACCAACATACTATTAATGCATGATACTTAAATATCTAATTTCAGAATATCCCTGAGTGAAGAAGTATTTACAGCAATACTCCTCCCTGGCCTTACTGATGTTTTAATACAAAATAGGTATTATAGAAATTAAAAGAGATATTTACCTTTACAAGCTCCTGTTACAGCAGACCTATCTGGATGTTCAAAATGGGAAATATCTGCTTCTGATTTTTTCTGCTTAATTGCTTGACTTCCAAAGCTCTTGGGTCCTAAATAAAAGACTGTAAACTTTTGCTGAATATCAAGTCCAACTAGAAAGAGAAAAGGTCATAAATTAGGCCATATATGAGGACATGTTCCTTTTCTCTCTCTCTCTCTCTCTGTCCTAGGGCTTGAACTGAGGGTCTAGTCACTATCCCTGAGCTTTTTTGCTCAAGGCTAGTGCTCTACCACTTGAGTCACAGCTTCTCTTCCAGCTTTTTGCTGGTTAATTGGAGACAAGAGTCTCAGAGACTTTCCTGCTTGGGCTGGGTGTCAAACTGTGATCCTCAGATCTCAGCCTCCTGAGTAGCTAGGATTACAGGCATGAGCCACCAGCTCTTTCATCATTTCTTTCTTTTTATATCTCTTATACTATTTTAACACTAGTGATAAAAATTCCAGGAAAGAGCCAGGTGCTGGTGGCTCACATCTGTAATCCTTGTTACTCAGGAGGCTGAGATCTGGGGATCATGGTTCAAAGCCAGTCCAGGCAAGAAAAGCCATGAAACTCTTATCTCCAATAAACCACCAGAAAACCAGAAGTGGCGCTATGGCTCAAACGGTAGAGCGCTAGCCTTGAGCTGAATAGCTGAGGGACAGTGCCCAGGCCCAGAGTTCAAGCCCCACCACTGAGCAAAAAAAAAGAATTCCAGGAAATAAAAACATTCTTAAAAGCAGAAAATGTTTGACAAATAAAAATGAGTATATTAATTTTCATTAAAAATGTTTCTATAACTATTGAAATTTAACTGTGTTAGAAAATATCTATAGGGGCTGGGAAGGTGGCTCAGTGGTAGAGCACTTGCCTTGCATGCATGAGGCCTTGGGTTCGATTCCTTAGAACCACTAAGCAGAAAAAAGAAAGCTGGAAGTGGCACTGTGGCTCAAGTAGTAGAGCGCTAGCCTTGAGCTGAAGAGTTGAGGGACAGTGCCCAGGTCCAGAGTTCAGGCCCACGACCGCCCCCCCCCTCCAAAAAAAAACCCAACAAAACAAGAAAATATCTATAACTGAACAAGTCAAATTTGAACTATCCTGATCTATGTTCTATTTTCCACATCAAAATAGATGATGTTTTCCTTAAAGCTTGTTTATATTATGTAAAGGTACCATTTTATTTAATATGATTTTGTTTATCTGTCTTAGCATAAAGGAAATAATTTTAAAAGCTATCATATTTTTACAGTTATATCTTCATTACTTAACTTACCAAAATCAGAGCTAATTAGATTTATGCTAAGATCTTCAGATATAAGAGCTCTCTTCACATCAATTTTTTTAACCCAGTTTCCAGCTTTTAGCAAAACAGAATCCCTGAAAAAATATAAACAATGATCTAGACACTGAAATATTAATTTTTAAGGGTTGATTACTCCTGATTAGTCTTCTCTAATAGTAAAGTGGGTACTGAAAACTACTTCCCCCAAATTCTGAGGAGGGCAAATAGAATATTAACAGAGAAATCTTTATATTTTTTATTTTTAATCTTCAAATATACACATCTGTGCATCAGGGTTACAATTTAACATGTCTACTTAAATGTCCAGTGTATCTTCATCACTCTCCCATCATTTTTTCCTGTCCCATGTATCCTCCCCACCATAACTGATATCAAGTTTTTCACTTCCTTTTTCACATATGTACATTGAATGTTATGATTATATGCATTCCCTGCAATGAAGCTATTTTGACCGTAATTTTCTTAACCATAGTTGAATCCAAGTTGCACTGATAAAGCCTATCTGGAATATATACCTACTATATATTAACATGATTTATAGTTAATGTTAACTCTATATGAATATATATAACACATGATCTTAATTACTTACATAATTTTGTGTTTAAAAACAACCTGATTGTCTGAATCACCTATGATTAAGGTGGTATAGTGAGAATCTGGTGCTGTTCATTTAGTTTGTAGTTGTTCAAAGTTTCTTAACGTAAGTGTCACTAATATTTCCGCCATGGTATTACTGTATCTTGCAATCTTCAAAAAAGGATAGGCATATAAAAGTGTTTTAAAAAACAACCTTACTATTCATACCAGTTATAGTAGCTTTACTCTTAAGAAATAATCCAAATATTTAAGAAACAAAAAATATTTACCTGTTCTACTTCAAGTTCATACTTTGGAAGATACATCACAGCTTCTTTTATTTGAGTTCCAAAAGGAGGGTGTCTACTTAAAATCTGAAATGGAAATAAATTAATCATTATTTTCTCATTACATGCTTGCAACTCTTTCAATAGAAATTTTTTTTTCTGTCAGTCATGGGACTTGAACTCATGGCCTGGGCAATATTCTTGAGCTCTTTTGCTCAAGGCTAACATTCTACCACTGTGAGCTACAGCTCTACTTCTGATTTTCTGTGTTAATTAAAGGTAAGTAAGAGTCTCATACACTTTCCTGCCCAAGCTGGCTTTGAAAGATCCTTGATCAAAGTCTCCTGAGTAGCTAGGATTAGACCTAGCACCCAGCTCAACAAAATATATTTTTAATCAATAAGGTTTTGTTTGTTCATTTGTTTTGGTGGTACTAGGATTTGAACTCATGACTTCCCAGTTGCTACATAGGCACTCTACCATCTGAGACACATCTCCAGTTCTAGAATCAATAGTTTTAATAATTATTACATATTATGTAATAATTACTCTAAATCCTTATGTCTATATTTATGACTATAGAAATATATTTATGACAAAATATTTATGACTATAGGAAATAATTTTCTATAAATAAGGTGATAAAAGTTGGGTTTTAGAATTTAAATTGGGCTTTGATAACATTAGGAATAAGTGAATACTAATTACCAGCTCAAGTTCTCTTGCATCTGTTGATTCAATTTTTTTAAAGGAAGTCAAACCTGCATTTACCATGGCATTTGACAATGTAATACCTGTAAAAAATTAATGGAACAATTTTTAAATAATCCACTTTAAATGAAACTTATACTCAAATACAACTACATTAATAAAAATATTTTGGGGACTGAGGAATATGTCTCAATAATAAGAGTGCTTGCTACCTTATATGCGACCTGGGTTCAGTCAGTCCCCAGCACTACAAAAATGAATAAAAGAAAAGCTTTAAAAATATTCAGCAAAATTTACAACTGTTATAGTTAGCATATTGTTTGAGTGTTATCCAAAGATCTAGATACTAGAAGCTTGGTCCCCGGTATGGGTGTTGAGGTGGTAGAACTTTACAAAGTAAGCATAATGGAAAGTAACCAAGACTTCTGAGTTCTAATTTACTAAAAGGTATGGTGGGATGGGTTGGAGTTGGTAAGAGTAAGCTTCCAAGAGAATGGGAAACTCTTCTAGTCCTTTTCTTGTTACCTGTGTGACTGTGATCTCTTCCCCAAGCATTCCTGCCATGATCTACATTATGATTCAACCCTTAGTTTTATCTTATCTCCTAGTCTTATGAATTTCTCTTAGTCATTTTTAAAACACAACTTCTAGTATTCTTAACTCTTTATTGTTAATTTCCATACAGCAAACTCTAGCAAATAAACTCTGTATGATAGAAAAGCAACATGATTTAAGGATAGGCATATGACTTCAGAGTTAGGACTCTGAGTGTCTCTGTCTTAAAAATATAGTTCTGGGCTGGGAATGTGGCTTAATGGTAGAGTACTTGCCTACCATGTGTAAAACCCCATGTTTGATTCCTCAGTACCACATAAAGAGAAAAAGCTGGAAGTGGCGCTGTGGCTCAAGAGGTAGAGTGCTAGCCTTGAGCAAAAGTAAGCTCAAGGACAGTGTCCAGAACCTGAGTTCAAGCCCCAGGACTGGCAAAAAAAATAAGTGTGAGTGTGTGTGTGTGTATTATATATAGTTCTGTGTCTGTACCTAAGCCAGATAATTTTTCTTTGCTGCCTAAAACTTCCAATCTTTTTCCATTGCATTAAAATGACATTTCATACATACACACACACACACATATATATATATATATATATATATATATATATATATGTATATACACACACATACACACATATATATTTTACTGTGGCTGAATTCCCTACAGCTAGCCCTCCCATTTAATTGCTCACTACTCTCTTCTTACTGAATACTCTCTGCTCACACTGGCTTTGCTTTTCTTCCTTAAATATAGTTGATTTTTCCTTTGTACCTTTGTTATTTCCTTATGCTTTCGGGCACTGTAATTTTAAATTGATATGCCTGCATGAGTAAATTTTACCAGTCACTAAACAGGATTTTTTGTTTTGTTTTGTTTTATTTTGTGGTGGTCCTAGGGCTTGAATTCGGGGACTGGGAGCTCTCCCTTACCATATTTTGCTGAAAGGCTGATGCTCTCCCAACTTGAGCCACAGCTGCACTTCCAGCATTTTGGTGAAAAAATGGTATTTTAAGAAATGATACTTTAATTATCTCTGTATAAAGCACATATAATACTGATAAAAGTAACACCACTATTTTTTAAACTGTTCTTGGGAATTTCTCTGACATTTATTTATTTACTTATCCAGTACTGGGACTTGATCTCAGGGCTTGGTATTTTTACTCAGCTTGTTTGCTCAAAGCTGATGCTCTCATCACTTGAGCACTACTTCCAGCCCAGTTTGTGCTGGTTAATTGGAGATGGAGTCTCATAGACTTTTCTGCCCAGGATGACTTCAAAAACCAATCCTCAGTCTCAGCCTTCTGACTTTCTAGGATTATAAGCATGAGTTACCAATTCCTGGCTATCTTACCCATTCTTAAGACAAAAGCTTCCAGTATTCTAATGAATACTTTTTAATGTTCCAGGGTTCAAATGAATATACCTTAATGTTCATTTCCATTTTCCTCAAGACTTTTCCTGACTTTTAGCTTTCTTGTTGTTGTTGTTGTTGATCATGGAGCCTGAACTCTGGGCCTGGGCACTGTCCCTCAGCTCGTCAGCTCAAGGCTAGCACTCTACCACTTGAGCCACAGTGCCACTTTCAGCTTTTTCTGCTTATGTGGTACAAAGGAATCAAAACCAGGCCTCATTCATATGAGGCAAGCACTCTACCACTGAGCCAACTTCCCAGCTCCAACTTCTAGCTTTTGAAAGTTTATATTTACTGTTAAAATCAATTAGTATTAGTTTCTCTTTATCATGTTCCATAAGCACTTAGATTTACATTTGGTTTAGATTTACATGTTTCCTATCAATATTTTTCTGAGGAATATTTGCTTTTTTTCTGTTCAGCTGTACTGAGTTTGTGTGATAGGCAAGTTAGTATTTGACAATCTGGAGAGGACAGAATGCAACAGGTATCCACACTTAATATCCTTGAAAGACTGGCTTTTTCAAGAATAATAACACTAATAATTATTTCACCTAATTTCAAATTGCTCTCTAAGGTTCTATTTTCCAAATGTTGAATAAAATCCTTGCCAGTTTAGAACACACTTGTCTTTGTAAAATGAAGATGGCATTTCTCACAACTTAAGTAGAAGCTGAGCCTTCCTTTTACAATTGTAGCCATTTAAGGAGTAGGGTCAGAAAGTCAAAGGTAAAAACTGGATAATTCCAGAATCCTTGAGCCTAATTCCAGTTTTTTATAAATGACACCTTTAATCTTTTTTCAACAGACTGGTAATAAAAATCTATTATTGAAAATGGAAAAAGTTAAAATATACATAAATAACATAATTTTCTGTAAATAATTTAAAATGGCCAGGATTCCTAGTTTTGTATTTTGTCACTGAAAACAAAGCAAAATATGAGTCAGAGAAGAGACTTAATTAATAATTGGAACAAAAGCTCACTATCAGTATGAGAAAAAAGCATTAAAAAAAGTAGCAGATGACATTTCTCATGAACTATTTAGTTGATTTTAAATGTAATCATTTAAGCAAGAGCAAATAAAAATTAGACTTTCAAAATAAAGTACTTTATTTTGGACCATAAAACACATTTTTTTACAGTTATATATTCATCATAGAATGACTGTCAACAGTAAAAGTAAAATAAATTGCAGATAATAACAAATTGCTTGCTGTATTCAGTACTTACCAATTTTTTCCAGTTGTTTGGATACATACAGAGAGTTCTCCCAAAATTTACACCTAAAACATTTAGCTAAAATCAGACTGTTCAATAGCACAGCAAACTTCTTTTCTTGAGCAGCTACAAAATCTGACAGCCCTGAAAAAAAGTTTCCAATGTTAAACTTGGTGTGCTAGTTTACTGAGAAAACACTGAAAATCCACTCTCCTGAAACATACATCTTGCAATTCGTGAACCATTTCTGAAAATCTTCGAGGTATCTTGTGTCAAAGCAAAATCTTGTATAGGAATGCATCCTAGCTGGGCCTGGATAAGACTGTGGAAAAAGAAATTTCATTGTTTCCTTTGAAAAGTTACAGTATTCAACATTATTGATTGAAAAATTGTTTCTGTCTTGGTTTGTATTATCTCTGAATTCCTTTTCCCAACCTCCAAAAGTTCAGTCTTTCTCTCTCTCTTTTGATGTCTACTTAAAGAAGAACAGATCTGAAATTTAGCAAAACAGGAATGCATACATGTGAAAAGTTAGACCACATGTAAATTCTGCAATAAGAAATGACAACTCCACATTGATGCATACTCTTTTCTTGGCAATTCTCAAATAAGATGCACAAAGGTGGGAGATTATAGTAATAATTTAAATTATGGTATGCATAAAACCAATTATAACTCATCAATTTTTAAATCTGACAGCCCTAATCAAAAGAGTGTAGAATCCAATTTTAGGCAGAGTATAGGAAATCATTAAAATTTCAAACAAAATGTTTATAGGGAAATACCTTGATTTGATTCAGTAACTAGTGTAACAGAGTATATTTAAAGGGGACCTGGGAATGTGGCTTAGTGGTAGAGCGCTTGCCTAACATGCACGATGCCTTGAGTTCATGTGCCTCAGTACCACATAAACAAAAAAAGCCAGAAATGGTGCTGTGGCTCAAGTGGTAGAGTGCTAGCTTTGAGCAAAAGAAGCTCAGGAACAGTGCCCACATCCTGAGTTTAAGCTCCAGGACTGGCAAAAACAAACAAACAAACTAAAACAGAGTATACTTAAAAAAACAAAACAAAACAACAACTAAGTGAATCAAGCCACCCAGATTCTAGTTCTAACTTAGTCCTTAATGTAGCATCATACTTGGCAAGTCATAACATACCCAAATATTACTGATTCATTTGAAAATGACAAGTTTGGACTACATAGTCTCTTAGTTCTCTGTGATTTCTAAGGACATGTTAATTACCAGAGAAATACAGCTAAGACATAAAATATTAGCGTCTATGTTCAAGACATAGACCTGCATGATGAATTGCATACATATATTTAGAAGACTGTTTCATAGGCATATTAGAAGATAAGATTCAATGAGATGTCAGGAAATAACCCAAAGAAATAATAATCTCTAGCTAAGGAAGAAAATTAATTGGCTAGTTGATTTCATTAAGCTACATTAAAAATGAGCTTAATGTACTTTAAAATGACCTCAGTACTAATACTTAGTACTAAATACTTAGAAACATTAGTACTAAATATTTAGAAAACATAAATACTTAGAAATGTACTTTGAATAGAAGAAAATCATACTACTGCCTTTGTGATTTCAAACTGTGTAGACAAGTGTAAACTTTAGTGTTCCAATTACTACTTATATATACATTCCCCACTATTAGCAGAATAGTAATCCACTATAATGTATGCTTCCCTCAATTCATGTGTTGGCTTATTTGTCTTGTCTAGACTGTCACTATCATTTAAATACACGTATTACATTTGTTTTAATGGTGGATATTATTTTTATGCATGGTTATCATTCAAGCCAGCCTGAAAGCTCCTGATGATAAATATAAACAGAACATTTTTTCTATTGTTTACTTTTCACCTCAACAGAACACATTCTTAACGATATTCATTTTTAAAAATATTCACTTTTTTTGGTATGGTGCTGGTGATTGAATCCAAGGTCTTGCACATGTTAGGAAAGTGTTCTGCCATTGAGCTATACTCCCAACCAGTAAATTCATTTTAATTAGTCTGAAAGTTGTTTTTAAATTTTTTAGTTATTAAAGTAGTTGGATAAAGAGCTTTCAACTCAATATAACAATTTGAGTACAATGCCCCATCTTGATTGATGTCACACCTTCCATCGTTCTTCTTCAGCTCTCCTAGCCCCAGTCTGAAAATCCCTGAAAATTAATTTCACATCTATAATCTGCCCCCTAATTTTAATGGGAATATTCTATTTTTTGTATTATGTAAAATAAATTTAAAATATGCTTTAAAGCTAAAAAAGAAACCAAAAGTGGTGGTGCACACCTGTAATCCTAGTAATTTGGGAGCAGAAGTAGAACGATTGCCAGCCTTGTCTACATGACACCCCATATCAAAAAAAAAAAAGAATAAGTAGATGTAAACCTTCATTACTATGAACTAGGGACCAGTAGGCAAAACAATAAAATATTAAAAATTATTATTACCAATTTACTTTCATTTCTGTTGTTTTAATTCTTCCGTCCATTGGAAATCTATAAATAAAAACATATGGAAAAACTTTTATGACCTACTTTAAGTAAAACTTCATAAAGTTATTTTAAATATATGTAATTTCTGTACCTGATAGTTATCCGATTTGGACTTTTGTTCAAAGTATTCAGTGTTTTCTTTTCATTTATCCTTAACTGTACATCTAGAAATTCATTACAGCTGGCGATCATTGAGACCTACAGAATTTAGGAATTTGTCCACTTAATATTAAGTTCATTTTCAACTTCTTTTATCACATCTTATTTCTCTACATTTACTTATTTTTCATGCTGCCTGGGGACACCATGGTTTTACCAATTAATAATTCAGAGCGTGCTTTATATATTATACTTAATAAGTGATGTAATTAGACATTAGAACTATACCAATTAGATTAGAAAGATCAGAAAGACAAAATTTACAATATACAACCCAGTGCCTAATGCATAGTAAAAAGCACTCAATAAACACTGTTCTTTTTCGTCTTCCTTTATAGCCTTCTATATCTTATCAGTCATAATTCCAAATATTTAATAGAAAATAATGCTTCAGGTAATAAAAAATTTGCATTTTATAGACTAGCTTTGTCAGATGACTAGTAAGCACACTCTGTGCTTTGTTTCCCTTATCTATAAATGGAACTAACACTTGTTCTAATTTTCTTGTTAAACTAAAGATCAGATCAGTCATTGTTAGTATTGGATATTTTATACTTTTATTTTCTTCTTAATGAAGAATATTTACATGAAAATATAAACCTTTTACCTTTCATAAAATTTTGTTCAGGTGATTTCTTTATAACAACTAACATTATCTTATATAATCCTTAGTATACTAATGTTATTATGCTAATCAACACAGGTATTTAAAATTAAATACAATCATTTCAATTTGAGATTAAAAATTTTATTTTACAAGTATCTTGTTTCACATTCATGTTTCCAGCAAAGAGAGGAAGAATCAATGTAGACAACAGGCACTATAAATATGCCTGTTGCCAGGTGCTCTATAATCCTAGCTACTTAGGAGGCTGAGATCTAAGGATCACAGTTCAAAGCCAGCCCAGGGGAAGAAAGTCTGTGAGACTATTATTTCCAGTTAACCATTGGATAACCAGAAATGGCACTGTGGCTCAAAGTGTTAAGAGTACTAGCTTGAGCACGAAAGCTCAAGGACAGCACCCAGGCCCTGAGTTCAAGTCCTATGACACATACATACATATACATACACACTCACTCACACACACACACACACACACACACACACACACACACACACACACACACACACACAAGGAAGGAAGAAAGAATATGCCTGTGATGTGGCTGCTACAGGTGCAAAATTGTCCCCACTGTGACATTTTAACTTAATATTCTCATCTTCATAATCATTTCTTTTTTCTGGACTATAATTGATACTATTTTATTTCAACTGTTACTGCTATGCTGGTGCAAAAGATTTAGGGAAAGGTTGCCACAACCCTAGATTCCAACTCACTGTCCTTTACTCATACCAGACTTTCTTAATATATCATGCTACATTGTCCTGAAATCTCTCTCACATATTTGTCACTACCAAATTAATTAGCATTATCAGTTAAGTTGTAAATAGTTATTACACCTATTTTGAGTATGTATATAAACTTTCTCAGCTCTGATAAAAATGCAACTGAAGACCAAATATATTCTAAGACATATTTCATGTCTTATGACAGAGATACACTGAAGGGAGATGTAATTACAAATGCTTTCCTTTTGGGGCTGGGAAGGTGGCTCAGTGGTAGAGTGCTTGCCTTGAATGCATAAGGCCCTGGGTTCAATTCCTCAGCACCACATTAGCAGAAAAACAGGAAGTGGTGCTGTGGTTCAAGTGGTAGAGCACTAGCCTTGAGCTGAAGAGCTGAGGGACAGTGCCCAGGCCCAGAGTTCAGGCCCCATGACCAACAACAACAATAAGAAAAAGCTTTCCTTTTGACTTGTTCAATAATAAATTATATGAAGCATATATAATAGTTTCTTCTCCAATAGTTTTTGTACTATATCATTACCTATTTATTGTTCTCATGAAAGTTAACTTACCAGATCTGATAAAGTTTCTTTTCCACTGATTGTACAAAATTTCTTCACTGTCTCAAATGTAATATAATACCAAGCCATCAATCTTCCTGACTCTGTAAGAAAAAAATACAAAAAATAAACATTCTCTATATTAGCTTTAAATGATTAAAAATCATTTTAACAACATTTCCTTAACCTCTACTCTTGGTTGATAATGGAGATTACAATTTAGTTTTACTATGATCTAAATTTGAGGAGAAAAAAATTAAATTTTTGTTAGGGCAACAATAATTAAATTTACCAACAATCATAAGAAACATTACCTGTTGGTTTGAAATTAACATCACCATCCATCTTTATCAAGTCCAGGGATGACAAGTCATTAAGATTTTTCAAACATAATTCTGTTCAATAATAAAAATCATTTCAGTGAAACAGGGAAATAAGGCAAAATAGAATTATTATTAAATATGCTATAGAAATGTTTCTAATAGTAACAATAGTATAAATAAAAACATTTAATAATAAAAGGAGATTTAGCACATAGAGCACTTGAAACAATATATATGTATTACCTAGTTAATTCTCAAAATAATATTATTATTTCCATACACAGGTTGGGAAACTGAAGAGTAGAGGCTAAGTAATTTGCTCTAGGTTGAAGGAATTGTTGTGCTATTTGTTTTCCAATATGAAACAACTTTATTTTTCTTTGTTTTAAATTTTTATCAAAAAGACTTATGCTCAAAGTATATAGTCAAATAATCCTACAAAATTTGTTACAAACCCCCAGTCTTTCCCCTCCTTCCTGTTTGTACTTCATTGGACAACCACGTAAACCTGTTTTAGTTGATGATTTCAGTATTTACTTCCATCTAACTGAGCACAATCACCATTTCTACCTGGAATAGGAAGCCCTATTACTACAATTGACATGGATTAGTAGATCACTAATAAGTGTATTCTGCTAATTACAATTTTTAATCTACCCCATAGTAGAACCCAGAAAAACTAAGATAGTTCAGAGCAGAGTAAGTAGTAAAACCTATTCAATCCTCTTCCCCTCCTCTCTCTGTCTCTGTCTCTCTGTCTGTCTTTCTCTCTCTCTCTCTCTCTCTCTCTCTCTCTCTCTCTCTCTCACACACACACACACACACACACACACACACACACACAGAGTCATTAGAAGTGTTTGCTTAGGAAATACTTTAAGCAACATTGTTTTGGCAGTTGGATAGTTTAATGTGTTTGCTAATTAAAGCTCTTGAAGTCTTTTCTAATTTTCTTAGACATTTGTGGGTATGTGCTGGTCCTGAGGTTTGAAATCAGGGCCTGGGAGTCACTGAGCTTCTGTGTTTAAGGCTAGCACTCTACCACTTGTGTGCCACAGTCCTATTTGGCTTTTCTGGTGGTTAAATGGAGTCTTACCAACTTCCTTCCCAGGATGGCTTTGGATTGTAATCCTGAGGTCTCAGTGTTTTAAGGAACTGGGATTATAGGCATGAGCCATAGGCTCCCAGCTTAGACATAATAAGGCAGCTCATTACCCATTAATCAGTCAACCAATCAAGGAAGAATGCTTACTATACTTTATGCACTATTCTAAAGGTTTATCTACTAGGTTCACAGCAGTGTATTTTCCTTATATTTTACTTAATCAGCAAATTGTGGTTTAAAAAAGCAATCTACACAAATAAAAGTTTTGGTATTGAAAGCTACTATCATGAAAAGTAAAGCTGAGAAAGGCTAAAGAGAATGTAAGGTTTTTTTAAACTTTTAAATCTTGTATTTCTAATATATTGCTACATAATTTCTAATATAAAGGAAGTATATAGTCACACTGATTATCAAAATAAAGACATTATCTTCTCCAAGAACAAGGAGAGCAACAAAAATGACATCACAAAAATCTATCTTTCTCTCAGTAAAAGTAGATTTAAATAAGCTGATACATAGAAAGACTACGCTGAGTAGCTGATTTTTAAAGAGGCTTGAATGAAATAAAGATATAGGCCATGTGAAATACTTGAGAAGTGTTTCAAGAACAAGAAACAGACTGTGTAAAAGACCTGAGTAAGAACAACTAGGTTTAATTAAAAAAACAAAAGCCAATATGGAGACAGAAGAATGAACAAGGGGGAAAGCTAAAGTGAGAAAAACAGGCAGGGATGAATCTAGTAGGATTCTGTGGGCTCTGGTGAGAATTTGCATTTTATTCTAAGAGTGAGGTGGAGTTACTGCAGGACATTGAGCAAGAAGACATAATCAAGTTTAGAATGCAGCACACATTATGCTAAGGTCCTTTCCTGAGAGATTTAAGGCAGACTTCATAAAATACTACCCCAAAGTACTCTAAAACAACGGAGATACAAAGGCTTCAGAATCATAGATTACTATAATCTGTCTGCCTTTCTGTTTGAAGCACAGTAATATTCTGACCTTCCTAAGTTTGTAGACACTTAATCTAAAGAGTTCCTGCCATACATCCAAGAGGAAGGAATGATACACAAATAGGCCAAGAAAAATCTAACAAACTGGCCTTTCTAAGTTTCAGTTTATTACCAATAGGTGATACTCATTTTGGCAGTCATAATTCTACACAACTGTCTACCTCTCATCATACTTAAGAATAAAATCACACATTAAATAGTAAAGTTCTTTTCAGAAAAAACTCTTTGGATCTCTGGATCTCCATTTTGGAAGGTTCCAATGGCATGTAAAATTTTGATTAAATAAATATATTATGCTTTTCTCCTATCCATCTATCTTCTCTTATACGTATATCAGCCATGAACATTGCAGTGAGTAAGGAAAAGATACTAATTGTTTTCTTCTTTACATTACCAATTCTTTTCAGTTATATAATGTTCTTTATAAGCAAAACTTATCTATGAAAATAAGGCAAGCATGAACAATAATTCTCCCAACTTAACAAAAGATAAAATATTAAAGTTATATAGTTAAATATCCCTTGAATTATCTGATTTTGTTTATGTGTTTAATCATTATTATTAAAATATACTTCAGTTTAAAAAAAATTAGAAAATTAGTCAGTTGTGGATAATTTACAAGTATTTTTCAACAGCACATTACGAATATATAGTTATCATTGTTTCAGCAACAAATTTACTCTTTAAAGAAGATAGCTTATGACTTTATCCATATCTTTGAAGCTATATTGACCACATGTGATTATCAAAGTAGACAAAAAAACTAAAGTTCACAAAATATTTTTAATGAATTCATTATTTTTCTTTCACTGAAAGACAGTCTCAACACAATGAAGAGCTAGAATATCTAATTCTAATAAGTGCCTAATATTTTTATATTTTTAAGACACAAGCAGTAAAACACTAAATGATTAATTGAATAAGAAAGCTGGGATATGACAAGAAAATATCACTGGCAAAATAGGGATAAGAAATTCATCATCAATGTAAGCTTATTTTCAATTAAAACTAGGCTACAAAATAAAAATAATTTTATTACTAAGCAGCATTTTCAAACACTATGGTCACTGTACAAATAAATAAGCCAAGTTAACATACTATATACAATATTAATCTAAATGCTAAGCTTTATTTATGTGTGGAAAAGAACTAGTTTATACTTTTTTCTGAAAAGAAGTTTGCTATTTAGTAATAGTTTACAAAAGAATATGCTTGCGTTCATAAAAAATTTTAGAACATGTTATTTCTGGGAGGAAATTCATCTAACCTTGTAATTTTGCTTCAATTCCTTCTTTGTTCAATCCAGATTTAAAACCTGTATAAGCCATGAAAATTTATTAAAAAGTTAAAATAGAGTGGATTTAACTTATCTTTTATAGGTTCAGTTTATACCATCACTTGGAGAAGAGTACTAAATATCATATAGGAAAAATAGCTTAATGAATTGATGCGATGAACTCTCTATAAATTATTTGTTTTACAATCCTTTCAATACCAATTGGCTATCTTTTGCCTCTTTTTTGTATTAGCAGTGAACAGAACTATGTGAAATAAGAACTATGTGAAACAAATCGCTTAGGTTTTACACACAATCATCTGCCAAGTGACTATTTTCTAATGGATTTTCATTCTAAAATGAGCACTGGTGGATCACATCTATAATCCTAGCTACTCAGGAAGCTGAGATCTGAGGATTGGGGTTCAAAGCCAGTCTGGGTAGGTAAATCCATGAGACTCTTCAATTATCCACCAGAAAACCAGGAATGGAACTGTGGCTCAAATGAAACAGCTCAAGGACAGAGCTCAGGCCCTGAGTTCAAGCCCCAAAACCAGCAAAAAAGCAAAACAAAACAAAAAACCAAACCAAAACAGAATAAAACAAAAAGGATGTTTCTATGAAAGAGTAGTAATACAACCATTTTGGAAAACTGCTATTTTGTAAAAAGTACATATGCTACTAACACAATTATACAAATATTTTCATACTGAAGGATATATATATATATATATATATATATATATATATATATATATATATATAAGTTCACATCAGTATTATTTAAAATTAAGAATTTTTTTTTTAAATCAAAGATGCTTTTAGGATGTGAAAAACCAACACACTTGGAGAAAAGATTTGAATATATACATTTGACAAGCTTTTTACTCAACAACTTCTATATATTAACCATAAAAATACAAAAAATGTGATTTAAAAGTAGGTAAAAGATTTGAACAGGTACTTCTGAAACAAGATGTTCAAATGACCAATAGGAAAAGGTCCCAGTGCAAGTACTCAACAAGGAAATGCAAAATCAAATCAACAACTACTACTACCATTACTATTACTACTATGCTACAACTACTCCTCATATACATACTATACACAAACACACACAACACAGGGCAACGACTGATATTAAAAACTAATAAAACCAATTATTGATAATCATGTAAAGGACTAGAATTCTTCTATATAGCTGTTGACAGGGTAAGTTGGTTCAACTGCTTTAGGAAAATTACTGTGTTTGAGTTATCTACTAAAGCTAAACATAAGTTATAGGCCTACTTTATTTTACTACTCTTACATAGATATACCCCAAAGAAATGAATGCTCATAACCAACAAGAGATACATACAGGATGCTGGGTGCCGGTGGCTCACGCCTGTAATCCTAGCTACTTAGGAGGTTGAGATCTAAGGATTGTGGTTCAAAGCCAGCCCAGGCAGGCAAAGCCATGAAACTCATCTCCAATATACCACCAGAAAACTGGAAGTGGTGCTGTGGCTGAAGTGGTAGAGTGCAAGCCTTGAGCTGAAGAGCTGAGGGAAAGCGCTCAGGCCCAGAGTTCTAGCTCCATGACTGACACAAAAAGGGGGGTGGGATCCATACAAGAGGAGAGTAGTTGCTAAAGTGGTAGAGTGCTTGCCTGGCAAGTATAAAGCCCCGAGTTCAAACCCTAGTACCTACAAAAAAAAAAGATACATTCAAAAATCGTAATAGATGACTAAATTGTATATCCATACTGGGAACAGCACAATAATAGCAAAGAACAAACTACTATGAATACACCTACTTATAATGGAATACTCTCATTAATATTATGTTGAGCAAACAAAACTAGAGAAAAAGGGTAAATATTATAAGTAAATGCTTGCATTTGTATCAAGAATGCAGCTAATATATTGTGATGGGAGCTTAATATTCATTTTGAAGTGGTTAATATTTGACAGGAAATTGGCATGAAGTAACCTGTGGGAAATATTCCTTATCTTGATCTGGGTGTGGTTATGCGTATGTGTGTACATATGTAAAACTTCATCGATCCTATCCATAAAAGAACTAAACCAGAAAGGGATAGAGGTGTGGATCAAGTGGGATAGCACCTGTCTAGCAAGCATGAGAAGGAAGAAATGCAAATTAAAACAGAACATTATTTATACATAACACTGATAAAAATATACCCTGAAGGTAAGGCTGAACAAACAGAAACAATAGGGCACCATCGAACAAAGTTGGTTGCTATGTAAGTCATTAAGGTAGCAATGTAGCAACAAGTATCAAATTTTAAAAATTTACCCAGTAATTCTAGATATTTATATACAAATGCATTTACACTTTGAAAAATACAAGGTTATTTTTCACTTTGTTCACAATAGCAAACAGTTACTTTTCCACTTTGTTCACAATAGCAAACAATTTAAAAAGGAAAAAGGTACAAAACAGTAAACAGTGGTGATTAAAAATAAAGACCTTAGCCTGGTGCTGGTGGCTCACACCTGTAATCCTAGCTACTCAGGAGGCTGAGATCTGAGGATCACGGCTCAAAGTCAGCCTGGGCAGGAAAGTCCATGAGACTCTTATCTCCAAAAAACCACCGGAAGGGACTGGGAAGGTGGCTCAGTGGTAGAGTGCTTGCCTTGCATGCCTGAGGCCCTGGGTTCGATTCCTCAGCACCACATAAGCAAAAAGAAAAAAGCTGGAAGTGGCACTGTGGCTCAAGTGGTAGAGCGCTAGCCTTGAGCTGAAGAGCTGACAGCGCCCAGGCCCAGAGTTCAGGCCCCATGACCGGACCCAAAAAACAAACAAAAAACCACCAGAAAACTGGAAGTGGCACTGTGGCTCAAGTTATAGAGCTCTGGCCTTGAGCTGAAGAGCTGAGGGACAGTGCCCAGACCCAGAGTTCAAGCCCCATGACTGACAAAAAAGTAAATAAAAATAATAATATTTATATTCTGATACTGACTTTTGAACTAAGCAAAAATACTCTCTAAGTAGAAATACAGATTGTTAAATAACACAGTTATTCATGGAGGTATTTTCTTTTTAGTTGAAACAGGTGCTAGTTCAAGCCAGCCTTCAAACTGAGATCCTTCAGCCTCTACTTTCCAAGTGATGGAGTTACTGATGACTGCTACCACACCCTGGCTGAGATTCTTTTGTAAAAAGGCTTATATTATCCTTGGAAATCTGAAAGTTTTGAACCTGTGTTGCATTAGAATGGTATTGCAATGAGTCAGGTTCTGGTATTCAGCAATCCTAATTATTTTAAGCTTTTAACTTGTTCTATAGGAAACAATGTAGGAGAACTAGATGTGTCTTAGCTTGAGAGCTAGAATGAAAGGCCACAGAAATAATATAAGTGAATTTAATTTCTTACAAAATAATGAACAGACACAAATTCAGAATAAGAGGCAGTTGACCATTTAGTATGGAAAAGATTGAAGACTTAAAAATTAACTATTTTAAATATTAGGCATTTTTCTTATTTTTACTAGTTGAAGCTTTCTCTCTGGTACTATCTTTAATGGTGTGAGTTGTAAAGCTCATTAAAAAGATTATAATAGAACACATAAAGTTTCCTCTTTCGCCTACTCTTGCCTCTAAAAGTATTTGTGACTGTTATTACTTTTTTGTTTCTGTTATCTATTAGTTTCTGTAATTTATTTTGTGAACTCTTAGTATAAACAGAGGCTCAGTGACTTGAAAAAATTATTACTTTTCCAGGACAATGTAACAAACCATAATGAGATGGGTTTTTCAAGGCTCTGATATAAAGCAAGGTTGATCGTATCCATTCCAACGCAATATTCACATCGGTGATAGTATGTAATACTATCTCTGCGTTTAAATGTTCAATAAGATGTCTGTGCAAACTAGGGAAAAAAACTCGGCATTATTAATATGAATCTGAAAACATCACCTTACTTTTAACTTTAATTATGTTCAATATGCTCACTGCTTATTTAACAATTCATGAAAGAAAACAATTTCTAAAAGTGTAAGAGAAAATCTGAAAAAGTCAATTCAACTACAAACTTCAACTTCTACTTGTTATGCCTCTAGAAGATACACTGACACTTTAAAAAAGGGTAGGAGGAAGAGTGAGCAAATGCAGTCACTATTTTCAATGTATGTTATGTAAAAACTGAACTATGTAAATTGAGGGTAGGAATGGGAAGGGGGAAAATGGGAGAGAATGCTGAAAGGGGTGACAATGATCAAGATGCATTGTATTCATAACCTGACTTATGGAACCGTAACCTCTTTGTACAAATACTTAATAATAAAATAAACTGAAAGGGTATGTGTGAAGAGTTGAATTATATCCTATTTTCCTACTAAATACTGAATGCCTTTCTCTCAAATTGTCTTTCGTATTATAAAACAAATTTAAAGATTATAATCATTTACTATAAATTAGTAATTATAAATTTTCATATTTATAAAATTTAATGTAATAATAGCTGGTAAGATCTTATTACAATTTAGGCCTTTTAAGCAAAGGACAAAAAGCACCCTTGAATAAAATTATTTTATTGCTATTTTTAAAAAAGAATTGTTTAGTATCTTAAAATGACTTTAGTTCAACTGTTGGAAATTTTGAAGAAAATCACCTTAGAAAACCACCAAACTAAGTTTTTTTGTAATATTTAAAAGAAAAAAGACAAGTTGTATTAGCATTATTATCTTTTTAGAATTTTTCTGTATTACCTGCTTTCTATAGTGTCACTACAAGCTAACATTTGAATGTACTTGTCTCTGGTACTTAACCGAGTCATAATAACTGCAGTAGCTGTAGTGTCAAACTGAAAACAAAAAATCATACAGAGAAATTCAGTAAGGATTAGAGTGTATCACTGACACCAGTTCAATAACTCAAGACCTTCTTTTTATACTAAACAGTCCCCGTGCCTTAAAATAACAGGCCTGAAAAGACTTAAATACTGCTTCTTAATTTGAATGTTAACTAAGAATGTAGTTTAAAAACCTTCCAAGAATATAATTGCAAATACTATTTTTGTTTCAAGTTAATATAATTTTTCTTTTTTGGGGGGGTCCGGTCGTGGGGCCTGAACTCTGGGTCTGGGTGCTGTCCCTCAGCTCTTCAGCTCAAGGCTAGCACTCTACCACTAGAGCCACAGCGCCACTTCCGGCTTTTTTTTCTTTTTGTTTATGTGGTGCTGAGGAATCGAACCCAGGGCCTCCTGCATGCAAGGCAAGCACTCTACCACTGAGCCACCTTCCTAGCCCAAGTTAATATAATTTTTGCAATATTGAAGTCAAAACAAACCAGTAATTGGTATAGTCTATACATAATCTTATTTATCCTTGTAAATTTGTTTTATATATATATATATATATATATATATATATTTTTTTTTTTTTTTTTTTTTTTTTTTTTTGGTGCTGCTCCTTGGGCTTGAACTCAGGGCCTATGTGCTGTTCCTAACTACTTTTGCTCAAGGCTGGTGCTCTACCACTTGAGCCACAGCTCTACTTTTTTGTGGTTTAACACTGATAAGAGTCTTATAGACTTTCTTCACTGGGCTGGCTTCAAACCACGATCCTAAGATCTCAGCCTCCTGAGAAGCTAGGATTAGGTATGAGCCACTGATACCCAGCTAACATAGTATTTTGATACTTTGAAAAGATATTCGTCCTGAATGTTCCTTGAATGTCTATATGAATGACTTCTTTATCTAAGGATCTGTCAGCACAGGGTGTATTTTAAAATGTATACAGCTGCTGGGCATCAGTGGTTCACACCTGTAATCCTAGCTATTAAGGAGGCTGAGATCTGAGGATCACAGTTCAAAGCCAGTCCAGGCAGGAAAGTCCATGAGACTCTAATCTCCAATAAACCACCAGAAAAAACCAGAAGTGGCACTGTGGCTCAAGTGGTAGAGCGCTATCCTTGAGCTGAAGAGCTGAGGGAAAGCACCCAGGCCCAGTGTTCAAGCCCCATGACTGACATACGTATTATATATATATATATATATATATATATATATATATATATACATGTATGCACACACATATATATGTATATGTGTATATGTGTATATACATACATGTGTGTATACACATATGTGTGTGTGTGTATATCTAAAGCAGCAGCTTGAGGCAGAAGAAAATAATTTTCTTTCTCTTTCAAATTGCTACCGTCTTTCTCTCAGGCGATTGGTTAAGGAGTTTATATAAGCTTTTAAATCCCGAGTATCCTTTGACCCAGTAGTTTCATGTCTGGAAACATATGTTAAAGAAAATAAGCTAAGATGATCTTGAGTATTTGAGGATGGCATATATGTATATGTATATGTTGATATATGCAAAATAATATAGAAACAATCTAGATATTCAACAGTAAAATGAATTATGACATATTCTTATGAATTCCTATGTAGTCACTGGAAAAAATGTTCAAATAATTTTCAATGATGATGTGAATATCCATAATGTATTATATAATGAACAAAGCAGAGAGACATCAAATCTCCCATATTTATTTGCTAATATTTAGAGGGAAAAACTTGAATATTCACAGAACAAAATACTAATAATGATTATTTGGGGTGATAATTTCTTTTTGTATTTTCTATAATTTGTAATTTCTCTCATGAAAATTTTTTAAACTTACAATCAGGAAAACGCTGCATAATTTAAAATCCTTTATTCCATATCCCCATCCATTTTTCTTCCAGTTGTAAACCTCCTCTTCAGCCTTTAAAGCCTGGACCCAGATAAATAGAAAAGTCAGAGTAGTGACCAAGTGACTTAATATAAGAAAATCTTTCCAAAGCCAGGTGGTTACAGTTCCAGTACTTTCTAGAGGATGGATTAGATAAGAGTAGACCTGCCTGTGCCTCAGGGTCCGCATCTGCAAAGTGCGTACATCGGAATATATGCATCATGAAATGGTTTCAGGATTAAATAAATTAGTGTTTTAAAGTATTTACTTAATAAATCAAGATAGATAATGAACAATGTCAGCCAGAGACACCTATTAAATTGTGAAAATTTTTGAAGATCCTCCTTTTCTCCCTCTGATTTTGGAAGTGATTGAAGGCAATTTGTTTCCTCTGTGCTTTAAAGAGAGGCAGGGTTATTGGAAGTGAGGTTGACCATCCAGTGAATGTACATCAAAGTATCAGAATGTACCTTCCCAAAGTACAGGAGAGACAATGGGAGCATTGCTGGTGCACATTAGGGTTTTGTTGGACAGCTCTGATGTAAATAAGATAACTCAATTAGTCATTAAGGTGAGGAGATGACATCAATTGAGATCAAACTTCCTGGGTGCATTCTTTTCTTCCTGGAGGAATCTGGAAACTTAGCTTATCACTCAATGAGAGAGAGAGAGAGAGAGAGAGAGAGAGAGAGAGAGAGAGAGAGAGAAAGAGGGAGGGAGGGAGGGAGGGAGGGAGGGAAGGAGGGAGGAGAGCCATATACAAACACAGAGTTAATTCATATGTCTTAGCCTACTGAAGAAAGAAGAGGTGATAGTTTTATTTTAATGGAAAATGAATTTTCTCACTCAGAAATATACACGGATCTGAGGCATCTTCTGTCTTCAAATAACTTAGAACCAACCAATATGTCAGTTCTTGATATATTGAAGCACTTAAGTAACTAATTATTTTAAAGTAAGAACAATAAAATGACCTAGATTTGATATTTTAAGTAAATTTGAGTTAAAAAAAAGTCTAGTCAGGGCCAAGAATACAGCTCAATGGTAAAGCACTTAGTGTAACATAGATTGAGTTGAGAGAGAGAGAAAGAAAGAGAGGAGAAAGAGAGAGAGGAGAGAGAGAAAGAGAGAGAGGAGAGAGTATGTGTTCTGGGTATCAAATGTCTAGTTTTTATGTATTTGGCATTGCTCGATCCCCAAGCCTATAACTTATTTGACTATTTGACCAGTATCTCCTTATACTGTATCCTTTTGAAACTAGGGCACGATTTTAACTTTATATTAGTATATCAAGTATTTCTATCTCAAAACTAAAGCTTAGCATTTTAAAAGCATTACTGTTTCTTAAACATGTCCAATTGTCTCCCATTTTATTTGCACATGTTGATCTTTCTGCCTTGGACATTTTATTTTTGGATGTTTGCATAGCTTTCTTCCACGCTGCCTTTAGGTCTCTACTCAGGTGAGGTCTCTGCTCAAGTGTTACTTTACTAGTAAGGACTTTTCTCTCCACCTTATATAAAGGAGCAATCCACTTCTGATTTTATCCACCCAGTATCTCTAACCTGTCTTCAATTTTTTTCTGAAATATTAAATGTTTTCTTATTGATTTTTATTTTTCCCCATGAGAAGAAAGGCTTCATAAGGACTTTTAGTTTGCTGTTTCTGGTACTCAGTCCAAGACCTGGACATAGAGTAGATACTCAGTAATTATTTCAGAATCTAATATGTTTTAATTTATTTTAATACATTATTATCTCAGATTATCTTCAAACTAGCCTTAGAGGGTGAGAAATATTTTGGGTTTCCAGAGAGAAAACAAGCCTAGAGAAGAAAAGCAATTACCCAAGTTCACACAACTTGTATGCATTGGGGTTATGGCTATCTTAGGGCTATAGTATACTCTTGTAGCCACTTGGGTCCTGATCTGTCTTGGTTTTCATGATAATCTCTGCTATAGGTGCAATCCCTTTGGTTTGAGTTGTGTAACACCCTGATATCTATGCTTTGAGTCATATTTCACCATCAGCAGTCACTTGCCAAGAGACTTGCCAAGAGACAGGACACTTTAATCTGAGCAGAATTTTCCTATGTGGACCACTTTCCCAGAATAGCCACACCTACCTCAAGGGGGATCCGGCTCAGATTCTGTGTTAGTTTTATTTTCCTCATCATTGGGACAAAGTTTATGACAGAAACAATATAAGGGAGGAAGGACTTATTTTGGCTCACAGTTTCAGAGGGTTTAGGCCATGGTCACTTGACCAGGTTTCTGAGCAGGACATTATGATTGCAGGGGCATGTGAACCAGGACATTCTTCCTTTTATGTCACACAAGAAGCAGAAAAAAAGAGGAAGCAAAGAGGTATATTCTTTAAAGACACTTCCCTTACCCATCCTCTTCCTCCAGCTAGGTCTAACCTCCTGAATTCTCACAACCTCTCAAAATAATTCTACCAATTGGAGAGTTACATTCTTATTCAAACCATAACAAATCCCTATCACTTCAAGGAGACTTCAGCGCAAATAGAAGATCAGTTCACTAAAGGACATTTACTGAGTGGCCCATGACCTAAGTTCTGAACTTAGAAATGGACAATAAGTTTACCATTAAGACGAGAAATTGAGAAAACAAATGCAAGCGTGAGAGAGTTTATCTGGATTGTTTCTTGTACAGCTCAATACATCTATAAATGGATCAGCATCACTGTATTCCAGTAATGTTCCTTACAAAATCAGGTGGCAGACTGGATTAGATCTATAAGTTGGACTTTATTGACCTCTTTTCTGTTGTGGACTTCGGTGATGATTACATTTTTCTTAGGTTAGGGCTGGTGTAAGATCGAAAACAAATGAGAAGCATCTATCAAGCTCTTGAGGGCTTTGATGCTAAAGATGGGGAGAGGGACAAGGTGTTTTCCAATCACACCCTTGGGTGCCTACCTCTTCTTTCTGATGGTTACCTCCTTGGCCAACTACTTCTGGGCTGTGCTGTTCACAGTATAGATACTGTATAACTGAGAATTTGATTCCAGTGGAGGTTAGATTTGCATTTTTCAGACACTGAGAAAAATCCAGTGCAGTCTGGTTGGAAGCAGAACTCAGAAGTAATTTTTGCTATGCCAAATGATTTCAAACGTTTTTAGCTATTCATTCATCATCCATCCATGTATGATCCTTCCAATTGTTGGTGGGTCTGTCTCAGACCCAGAATCATCAGAGATCTCTTAAAGTGTCAAAGAAACACTTATTGACAGCAGCGTTTATGCATTCCTTTTCATCCCCTTGGCGTAAGTTTTCACTGAATACAGGAGAGATTTTAATAAGTGTCTTATGTTTGTGTTAAAAGACTTGAGCCTACTCCAAAAAGAAGCAAAGAAGACATGCTTTGATAATGCTAAGCTATTGCTCATAAACCAATTCAACATGGCAGAAAGTCTTCAGAAATAATACAACATTTTGTTTTGCCTATATAATGGCATTTACTATTAACTAGTTCACTAAAGCCATTCCTCTAGGGTCATGGTACAAAGGCTTGTAGGGAAAGCCTGCTGCACTATAAAACAAACTTGACTGAACTGTGCCTTCAATTTTATTGATCCAGAATTCTTTCTTTCTTTCTTCTTCTACCCTTCTGCTGTATTTTGGACCTTCCTTCTTTTCTTTGAAGATACATAAATGCTTTATCCCATGGAGAAACTGGGATAAGGGCTTTTTATTCTTTTATTGAGCAGCATAGAGCTGTGGTCACTCTTGGGGTGATACTGTCATGTTATAAGAAACTATGATAGAGAAGTCTTAAATAGAAAAAAGATTTGAGTCTCTTACGGTTTGAATATGAAATATTCCCAGCAGCTCATGCTTTGAGCACTTAGTCCCCAGATGGTAGACTTTTTGGGAGGGAGGTTGTGAAAGTTTTAGGAAGCAAGGGCCTTGATGGAGGAATTAGACCACTGATGGCAAGACTCTGCAGGCTCTACTGGGGTCTCCATGCACTCTTCACTCTTTGCTTCCTGCCCACCAAGAGAAACCTCCTCTGTCACACATTCTGCCACCACAATGTTCACTCTAGTACATGGCACCCAACAACTATGGAAAAATATCTTGGATATGGTGAGATAAAATACACCCTTCTTAAGTCATTTATGTCAGTTATTTTGGTCACAGCACTGAAAACATAATAATACAGGTCTCTGCTTCTAAGCCTGTGACTGTATCCGCTACTTGAGAAGAAATAGAAAGGAAAGGAAGTCAAAGGAGATAGATGAAGGATCTCTTGAATCAGAGCTGCATAGAGTTTTGTGAAAAACATCTTGGGTTTGTTGTGACACTATCTGAGGTTGCAGTTTACCTTCAGTTTTGCATCCTGATCAGCTAGTGAATTATAGCAATGATTAGAGAGGGCTGGTTTTCTGAAGGACAGCTCAAATCCATAAGCTGTATGGCAGACTCCCAGGGAGAACAAAGAGGAAGATATTTTTGGATATAGACTGCTAAGAAGCATTCCCTTTTAAGCTGTCACCGGACCGAGGTTAACGTCTTGGGCATACAATGCCCATTCTCTAAGGCAATAGCTCTGAGTGGGAAGGAGCTAAAGAGAAGCAGCTCACTAAGAGTTACTGTACCAGTCAAATCACCAGTGGGAAGTATATCTCAAAAAGCAAGGTCTATGTTGGACCAGTCCCTTACATGTTGAGCCATGTTGAGCATGGTCAGAATGGCAAAAGTTTTGTTGTATCAGATGAAGGCCAGTTTCAATTCATCTTTCTTTCCTTCTTTCCTTTCCTTTTTTTTTTTTTTATTTTTGTTTTGCCGTTTGTGGGCTTGAACGCTGCCCCTGTGCTCTTCAGCTCAAGGCGAGTGCTCTACTACTTGAGCTACAGCGCCACTTCCGGTTTTCTGGTGGTTTATTGGAGATAAGTTTCACGGACTTTCTTGCCTGGGCTGGCTTTGAACCACGATCCATCAGATCTCAGCCTCCTGTGTAGCTAAAGCCACCAGCTCCTGGCCTGAAATGAGTTTTTGTGCAAACATATTTGATTTTGTTGGAGCAGAAGATGATCTGATTTGAGACTGAATTTGCTATCTTGGAATTCAATTAGGTTACCTTATAGCATAAAATGAAAAAATACAAAAAGAGAGAGAAATTTTGATATAGGAGGTGAATCATGGAGGATGGACCCTGGACATAGAAATGCACATGTAATTTAAGATGAAAGATCTGAATCAGGATGAACAGGTAGTTTGAAGGTACAGGTGTAATAATGAGAAAAGGCTTGTGCACACTTATGCTTGGACTAAGAACAAACTTTTAATGCATTCCTCTCAGAAAGAACAAGTTACAGCTAATGGGAAAGATTTAGACTATGTTTTTATGTTTCAGTCTTCACTACTGGGAGCTATAAAACAATAATATAGTTCATAGAGACAACAGAGAGTCAAGGACTTCAACCTGGAAATCCTTTACCCAGATCAACTGTAATTCATCTGGAAGGCCAAACAATTCATTTCAGGTTTTATAAGAATTCACAGAGCATATCTCTTGGGGGACGTACAGTGTAGAGAAGAGATGAACAAGTAAAGGTGAAATGAAAGATGGAGTCTGGGGAAATGTAAAATGAAGCAGGAGCTGTGAACTATAAATCTTAGAACAAATGAATGTTTATATGTTGACTCAGACATAAATAGATCATGATGTAGAATGAGAATATATGATATAAATGCTAAGTAAATATATCAAATGTGACAGAAGTGTTAAATAAAGAGTAAAAATATACACAATGAAAATCTGATTAATCTTATGAAGATGCATTGGGCACATAAATGGACCTATTGAATTGAAACCCTGTTGTACAATGATTTGAAGATAATTTATAAAGAAAAAAATAACTCCTCAACTCTATAGAAAAGCAAGAAATAAAACTAAAATACTCTAGTCAATAAAAGGATTATGTAATGAGAAAGGTAACAATAAGAGGCAAAATTAATGAAAGGTACAGAATAGCCAGGAATTTGTACATATTGAACAAGTGAATATCTTTTAGTACAGATAAAGCAAGACTACTAATTATGTGAGAGGAGCTTGATAAGAATACCAATAGTCAGAATACAAATAGTACGCTATTTCAATGTTTCCTTCTCAATGTTGTACATCTTAGCTAAGTAACAGCATAAAATAATGCAGTTAATTAAGTGACACTTTAACATCTTCCTGAGATGTATACTTTACATATTCATAAAATATTTAAAAATTGAAGCATACTTGGCCACCAAGAAATGTTGCATGTAAAATAAAAGAATAGATTTTATGGGCTACCTTTTCGATCAAATCACAATAAACATTAGAAATTGGCATTTTGGGACATTGGAAATAACTGGTGTAAAGGTAATTAAATATATAGCAACAAAACTGCATTTCTGGGTAATCATTGAAAGATATATGAAACAAAAGTAAAAACTCTATCAAAGCAAAGCAAACTGGCAAAGGAACAACAGGAACAAACTCAGAAACTTGAGAAAGGTTTTAGTAGCAATTTTGACAAGTAGAGAAAAGCTATATAGTACTCATGGAATTATAAAGTATCAAATTATACCAGGAAAAGTGGAAAACACAACAGGCAATTAGAGATGACAGAAGGTACTCTATTCAGCACTGAGCAATGCACCAATCTTGTTACAGTTCAAAGATAGCTGTTATCTAACCTTTAAAAACAGATCATTCCAATTTCAGTTTAGCTAACTTAAGCCACAGGATAAGATAGAAATGATTCCATTTTATTTGGGGAGATAGCATCATATTAGTAGCAAAATTTGATAAAAAAGTTTTAGTCCAAAGAAGGAAACAACACCATATAGAATTCTGCAGTTGATCAAAAGTTTAAACAGCATAACCAAGTACTATTAATACAGGAAAACAACTCTCCAGTGTTAGGTTATCATCATAATCCTATTAATTATATGATGATATCAAACCCTCTAAGATGAAATTTGATGACACCCAGTTACCATTTTTATTAAAATAAAGTAAAACAATGTTAAGAGAAAACCAAATATGATAGAAATCTATTTCCCCAAACACAATGGCACATGCTATCCTATATATGAAAAAGGAACCCATTAAAATCACTAAATACAGGAAGATTAAAATGGTTTGTTCAATATAAATCTAGAGG